ATATGTCTGTAATCATTCCTGCTAGACCCCAAGTGTGATGCACTGAAAAAATCAGCTCTTCGAGAAGAATCTAAGAATGCAATAAAATACAGGGTGCTCTATTTAAAATAACGAAGTTGTTAGTTGTTTCTGATAGAAGTGGCAACACTGTATCGATGAAAATATTTTAGGCGGATAGAGAATGTTCAATTATCAAAGCATCCCGATTTTCAGAATGTTCTGTCTTTTCGTTCTCCAGATACTTCTAATAGGCCATATCATTTACGACATGACCTTTCCGGACACCCTGTATAGTGCAGTAAATGTCATGTGTCAAACTGAAAGGTATACATGATCATGATTAGATCTAGAAAATAACTTGTTTCAAATCGAACGTTCACTGAGTAGGTATCGAGAAAAAAAAATCTTGGATGTTCTTGGATGAAAACCCAAAGTCATTTCCACAACATTTATCAGAATTATCAAAGATCAATCGTAAAGGAACATGTTTCGGGCTTATATAAGCCCATCATCAGCCAACTAAAAGTATCAAAGTTATGGAAATCAAAAAGTAGACATACACAGGGCAAAGAAAAATATGCTCCACGATTGTCTCTGTAAAATGATATAAGTTTATTATGTTATGAACCTAATTGAACGGTTGAGGGTCAGGTTCATATTTTACAAGGGCCCACGTGCCCTTGAATTACCGAAAGGTGATAATTGAACTTCCAAAAATCAAACTGAAAAGTTTGATGAGGCATCAAAATCAACCTGATGAAGGGAAATGATAGAATCGTTGCACCGTTCGCATTTCAATCAAATTTGAATGTTTTATTGACTACTGAAATTTTCTTTCAAACTTTATCAAAAAATGTCAAATTCGAAGGAAAACTGCAAATGTCAAATTTCGTGCGTTTCATGCTCTTAATCTGTGCTCTTATCAAGAAATATTTGTGCACCCTGTACTATAGCGGTCATGTTCTAGTTGTTCGGCCTCCTGCCTTATAAATAAATAATTTCACGATTTATTATCTCTATATTCTCTATGGTTTTTATTCACGCGAAATCAGATGAAAAATGTGGGAAAATATACACCAGTTGCACGCCAATTCGATGTCAGATTTGCTCCAGTTTCATGTTTATATCTAGGTATAGGTATACGTAGTTCCGTTTCGATCAAATCGAAATATTATAATGATGATAATTATAATAACAATAATTATTATTATTAATATTATTATTATTATTAGGTATATTATTATATATTATTTTGGTTATATCTATGTTATTAGTTATCTTTCAAAATTATTATTATTATAATAATAATTTTGAAAGAGAACTTTCATAAAAATACCTTATAATAATAAATGAAACTTGTGTTTCCGTAGAGTTTTTGGGTTTTTGCGTTATCTGCAAATGTCGAGCTCTCCACATTTATACAGGTTGACATGATAATAAATATATATATATATATATATACAGTGTGTCCCACTTACCATGCTCACCATGGGTAAGTATCTTTTTAACGGTGAGAGATACGAGGTCGGTTAAATGACACCAAATGTGGAGTTTGTCAAGGCCAACTATAATGTGAAAAAATATTTTGATAAAATCTATTCGTTTTTGTTTTATACGCAAAAAACAGATTTTGATCATTTTCATGTCTCCTCCGTAACTTCTTTATTTATGAAAATATTCAAATAGACCAGATGTTATATATTGAAAACGGAAACAGATTCCTTTCCGAAACGTCAAAATATAAGTAAAAACTCGATATTTGTTCTATATAACTTTGTGTCTCTTCTCCAAACCTTTTTCAATACAAATTGTCCCTGACAAGCTAGTGAATTTTTCTTTTAAGCTCTCTGATAGGAAAATTCTTTAAAGGCAGTGACATTTTTTTACTACACGTATATTGAAATAATATTGATATTTCATTTTATATAGACGTGGAGAGAAAATCCCAAATAACCTGGAATAATGATGACTTCCTACATGTTTTGTTCTATTATCAAGATTAAATTTTTCTTAGGAAGCAAACGCTTGGGTTGGGCTATTTTCCTTTGATAGATGATTTACAAAAGTTTCAGGCAAACTTTCAAAGTTCAATATCTTCCAAAATATTAATTTTTCGCCAAAAATATATTTCTTCATTTCGTTTTGTTTTTTCGTTTTCTATCATCTACTTCATTTATCGCCCCAATTTCGGAAACACCCTGTATGTATATACATGTGGTAAATTCACATCACCCGGTAGAGAGAGAAAATAACCTAAATTTCCGCATCTTGCGCTGCAAAAAAGTTAGAAAAAAAACACGTCCGACGTTCTATATCTCCGATGGTCTGGTATATTTCTTTTCGTTGAGAGTTTTTTTTTGTTTCCCGTTCGGTCGTGCTCGGTAGAGGGGTGGGGGAAGCTAGCCTCGTGGAAACTTAAAAATGCCGCGCCGTCATCGCTCGAATCGATAACGTGTGGACCAATCACAAAGTGGCTCAGAAGTGAGTGGAAAATTTGGGAGTTTTTGAAGGTAACGCTTTTCGTTTTTTTTTCCTTTTCGTATAATAAATTTGCACGCTGTTTCTTAAGAACATATAATAATAATAATAATAATAATAATAATAATAATAATAATAATAATAATAATAATAATAATAATAATAATAATAATAATAATAATAATAATAATAATAATAATAATAATAATAATAATAATAATAATAATAATAATAATAAGGCACACATCCTGGCTGGTGGAATGCAGAAGGCCGTCATACTGGGATCATTGCGTCTACTTAGGGCACACGGTACTTGGTCCCAGTGATTACTCACCTCACAGGCTGTGAGGAGTAGTCACTGGATTTTATCCAGCACGACTCTGCGTGACGTCGGAGGCCGCAGGGTCGTGACTGGAATTATATAAACTAAATAATAATAATAATAATAATAATAATAATAATATTTATTTTCCATTAGACACAGATAACATGTATTGGAATCGTCAAAGTACACCTAAAGCCATAAAATACAGTCCACAATGTGAGCAACACCGTTGTTTACAAAATGGTAACAAGAAAAAATAAAATAGAATACAGCACAAATACACTTACATTTTATGAATCATAAAATTCTTGTAAATTATAAAAACATTTTTCAATCAAATAATCCTTCAGCAAGTTACTGAATTTATTGAGCTTCGTTGTATCTTTCAAACACCTAGGGAGCTTATTGAAAATAGTAAGACCTACCACTGATGGACAGTTTAAAGTTGTTTTATATTGACGAAACGGAACATGCAGATCACGTTTTCGTCTTGTGTTCACATTGTGTATATGAATAATGTGTGACTGTACGATTTCTCATTTAGAGTATGGAGCAAAACAAAACTTATATCACATTAATGTATTTTTCTGTGACGGGAAAAAAGTTTGGCATTTCTTCTCTGTTGGCAGGTTATAAAATGTCACTTTTCATAAATTACTTTTTTCCCGTGGGAAAAAAGTGACTACTTTTTTCCCAGATATATACCACATATATATAATATATACCTATACACTGTTGATGGCAATTGGTGTGCTATATATAGTTCCGAAAAATAAGTCAATAATACCGTCTCCGAAAAAGTACTGCAGGTCCTTTCATCTTCCATTCGACTTCGCGGTTACGTATATTACTAAACAACCACTAAATTCGCAATTTCTTGAAATCAAATCACAGAATTAGACTGACAGAAGTAACATCAGATATTTGATAACTCTAAAAGAATGATACAGATGCCTACAACGCAGGTGTCGTCCCTACTGTTGAAAACTTAAAAATTTCACGTCGATAATTTTCAGATTTCAAAATAATGTATTATCTTCTCAATATTGATTCGTTCTCTCTTGTGTCACAGAAAAAAATAGTGTATTATACACGGGAAAAATATTAGATTTTAGCTCACGGAGCTTAAATCTACTACTTTTTTCCCTTGTATAATAAATAACTATAATGTTATTATTGAGATATTATTATTATTATCTTTTTCATCTCTTTTTGTCTACAAAGACGTTACAGTACCAAGGATTCGATTAATTCTGATGATCACTTGGATATATGCTCTTCTGAAATATCAACAATTATTGTTCCTCCCTTGGCAGTCCCCGCGAGTTAACCCGTCGAGTTGAGGCTTCGCACCCCTTCGTGGTCACTTTCGAGACCTGCAGAACATCTCTTTCCAAAGGCTCGTTCAACGTTCATCCAACGAACAGCGAGGCTCTGGAACACATTGCCAAGGGAGATGTTTCCCGAGGCATATAACCTCCAGAAATTTGAGAAGAACACCAATTCCTACCTATTTCCCTTGGTTCTCACAATGTTCTCTGAACATTTCAGGATATCCCTTTTCGTGGGAACCAGAACATAAAAATAAAGAAAAAAAATTGACACTATATATGGTAGAATACAAAATTGGTACAAATAATTAAAATTGGGCCTTAGAGGCGAGAATATTCTTATTGAAGATCATATACCTTTGAAGAGAAAGTTGGTTGAGTCATTTGAGTTAACTGTTCCTTAGGGCACTTAAAAATAAAAAAATGATTATTCTCGTGACTAATTAATATTGAAGCTATAGAATTCTGATCCTTTCTCCAGCTTCGACTATCAATATCTCCCTTGAGGAGTAAAAAAACTCATATCAATGTGGTGACTTTAATACTCTCCTATCAATTTCCCATAATTTCCATCAGTATGGTTTCCACCCCATATCGCATTCGACACTCCCGACCCGACACTGCGTTACCTCTCGCGTTCAGAGCCCGCCAACCCCACCACACCACGACCACGCATCACGTGGTGCGCACACCCACCAATCCCCTCACAACTCACCCAAACACCGCCAGCCCAACACCGCTTCTCGCTTCTCTCAATCTCCCGTCATCAGTCACAAACGAGACGTCGCGTAGAACGCATCGACAGAGCGCAGCTATCGACGCGATGCTCGCTCGTACGTAACCAGGACCTAGTGCTCAGTGCCACCATGATGGAGGACCCGACGCAAGTGTTGTTCACCGAACTGCCCGTGCCGCTGTTGTCCACGGCGGCTCTTCTCAGGCACCACCACCACACCAGGTACCAACCATACCACCTGCCACACCAAACGCACCGTTTCCACATCCAGCAGTTCGTGCAGCCCCACAGGACCTATGAGGAAGAAGAAACGGACCATGGCAAAACGCACATCTCTTGTCTCTACCCGGAGATCTTGGCCATCATCTTCGGGCACCTAGAGGTGCGAGATAAGGGGCGAGTTGCTCAGGTGTGCACCACCTGGAGGGACGCGGCGTACCATAAGAGCGTTTGGAGGGGGGTGGAGGCTAAACTACACCTGAGGAGGGCGAACCCTTCGCTGTTCGCGTCTTTGGTGCGACGGGGGATCAAGAGGGTGCAGGTGCTGTCGCTGAGGAGGTCGCTGCGAGACGTCATTCAAGGTTAGGATCGATTCTTGTTTAGGATTGGACTTTTTTTCACCTTGAACACGTTTGAACATACAAAGAGGGAAACTTGTGGAATGAGTATCGATGATGGATGCAATATCAACTTTTAACTTCTTTCATACTAATGAGTTTGTAGAAATACCACATTGGGTGAGCTGGAATTATTAGAAATCCAGCGAGAAGGTCTTCGAACGGTAGTACCATGGAAAGATATTCATTATTTGGAGTATTTAAACATTCCAAAGCTACCATGTCCTACTAAGATCGAATTTCTTGAAACAAGATGTTTTATAGTTCTATCATCAGTTTTACTGCATATTATGATGGGATGGGTGGGTATAGATGAAACTCATTCCAGGAGGATCTATTGTTCTCTCTGTCAATTTTTGGGATTTTTTTATGACTTCCTCGAACTTACCATAATTTCCAGAAAGAGAGTAATGATTCCCAATTTTCAGTATCAAAGTCGAATAAAGATAACCTGTTCAAGTTTCGCTGACTTGTCCAATTTTACTGGAAACTTTCAAACATACTCCCTCGAACTTTCTTCTCTGTTTCTTTTCTTTGAGTAGGTAGAGGTGGGGGATCAAGAGGGTGCAGGTGCTGCCTCTGAGGAGGTCGCTGCGAGACGTCATTCAAGGTTAGGATCGGTTTTTGTATAGGATTGGACTTTTTTTACCTTGAACACGCTTGAACGTACAAAAAGGGCAAACTTGTGGAATGAGTATCGATGGTGGATGCAATATCAACTTTTAACTTTTTTCATACTAATGAGTAGTTTATAGAAATACCAGATTGGGTGAACTGGAATTACTTCAAATTCATTGAGGAGGTCTTCAAACGGTAGTACCATGAGAAGATATTCATTGTTTGGAGTATTTGGACATCCCAAAGCTACCATGTCCTACTAAGAGAGAATTTTTTGAAACAAGATGTTCAAGATCTATCAATTTTACTCTCGATTTCACTGCACATTATGGGTGGATATAGATACAGCTCATTCCAGGAGGAACTATTGTTTTCTCTGTAAATTTTTGGGATTTCCTTATTACTTCCCCGAACTTTCCATAATTTCCTGAAAGAGAGTACAATTTTGAGTACCAAAGTCGAATGATGACCTATTCAAGTTTCACTGGCTTGTCCAATGTTAGGTACTGAAAACTGTTGAACAGACCGAGGAACAGACTTCCTTCAAGTTTTTTTAGTAAGTAGGTAGACGCGGAGGATCAAGAAGGTGCAGGTGATGTCTCTGAGGAGGTCGCTGCGAGACGTCATTCAAGGTTAGGATCGGTTTTTATCTTGGTGAAATTGGACGGTTGGTCGTTGATTTTTTCGGCTTGAACAACAACATAACAACAAAGAGACAATTTAGAAGAATGAGCTCGGGAATGCGCTAATGAGGATCTAAGTGTCGAGGTAGATCCAATAACAACTTTGAACTTTGTTCAAAACCACCAAACTAATGAGTTTACAGAAATCCCAGATTGGGTTTACAGCTGGAATTACCCCAAAACCAATTATATCTACAAATTGTATATGTATAGTTCTAGGAATGACATAGTACCTGCGATGCTCGCTACGATGTCTTACTATGTGAGAGATAATTTCTCGAATCACGGTGTTCTAGATCTTTCAATTTCGACTGGATATCATGACTGGATAAATTTTTCCTGTCAAGACTTCTTCGGATTTCATCGAGGATTTTTTCCATGATTTTCTGAAAGAGAGTTCAATGATTCCCAAATTTGAGGACCTAAGTTGAATATCGATTACCTATAAGTAGGTACTCAAGATTCACTGGCATCTCTTATGTTGCTGGAAACATTGAAAATAGGTTCCCTTGACCTTATTCCCAATTTTTCTAATTACCTACTGTACTTCATATACAGAGACCTAGTCACCACTGGGTACTGCATTAGTATCAATTCCGAAGGTAATTCTCAACTTCAACCTGTGTTCTCAACAAAGAACCAGGTAGGTTCATAACATTTTTGTTTGGCCAGCTGAGTTGGAGCTGTGGGTAGAAGTTGATGCATACTGCATGCATACATACTAAGTAGGTATACTGAATAACGGTTCATCATAGGCCTACCTACTTCCGAGAATTAATTTCTGTGTTTCTAATGAAAATCCGTGAATGTCCAATAGATTTTTGAAGTCATAAAAATGTGGAAGTAGATTTCAGACTCGATTTCAGATTAAGATCCTGTAATATCTACGTATACCTACCTACGTAATTATTTCTTTAGAACTGATAATTTTCAAATAAAATGTTCGAACGAGTGTTCAGTTAAGTAGATAATAGAAGTTTCATTTACGTATTCATACTTCCTCGTATATCTCCGTCTTCTCCATTGGCAGTTCTGAGTTCAGACCTGAATATGTAGGTGTAGATATTGCAGCTCTGATGCCGATTGGCTGATTTGCAAACAAAATTGGTGTAATTGGCTTTTTTGGTACTTATAGGACATAACTATACCTACAAATCTTGTAGGTAGGTAGGTACCTATGAAGCTACGACATAGGTATAATATGGGTAGGTATCTATGGGTAGGTATATACCTATACCTAGTCCTCGACTTACTCTTAATCACTTAATCCTGAGCTTAATCCATAAAACAACTTCTAATAGTTAATAGTTCCCATGGTACCTATAAGAGCCTACCTCGAAACCTACCTACACCATTTTAATGGAGATTAAAACATCGATTTTTTCCACGAAATAACTCATATAAACAGTCATAATAGGTTAAATACCCGTTTAGGTCAAGCCGAGGGTCAAGCCATAAGTTTGGAAAAATATGCATACCTACCTCGATTCCTACCATCTATTTTTACAGTGGTCGAACCTCGGGTCGAACGTTAACCTCAAAATCAAATTAGTAAATCAAAGCATGAACTCATTTTCAAATCAAAACAGCAAGATATCTCCATCACATAACATATTTAACTTTTGATATGGTCGCTTATCAGTTCTCAGTGAGATACTTAGGTCAAAACACCTAATTTGCGTTCATCAACACTCAAACCATCAACTCAGTTCTCGCTTGTTAACAACCTACTGTCTAGACCGCTAAAGCCATGAGACAAAAGCTCATCCATTTACGATAGTCAACTGGATTCCATAGAGCATGCGCAGTCGCAGTTCGATAACCAAGTGACATAAGTCGATTCACCTAATGAATGACAATTTCGAGCGTTTTGAGGTGAGCCATTTGGATGAGATTTTTGGAAGGCGAGTTGGAAGGTCTATCAAAAGCGATATTAAAAGGCATTAAAAGTGGACTGTGAAAATAATTACTTAAAAAATTGAAGTTGTTAGTATAGACAGAGATTATACACTCCCCCAATCTCTGGTATAGATATTTTTGATATGATATCTTGCTACTCTTTCTTCCGCTCATGAATTGGAAATATAAAATAAATTCCTCTTGAACTGCCTCGGGAAATACCCTGTTCGTTTGCATCGTTATCACCTCTAAATACTCTTTCATATCAGTATAAGTATATATCCGGATATATCGACTATCGAGAGAGAGATATATGTTCAACGAGATAAATTTGATCAGAATAAGTAAACAATTCCATTACACACATCAAACTATTTATGATAAAATTACAGAGAAGCTCACTCGGAAGCTCATAAGGAAGAAGAAATAAGTAAGAAAACTTACTACGAAATTTAGTAGACATGGTACCTAAATGTGGTATAGGTACCTACTCGGGTACCTATAATGTTAATCAATAATTATAACCTCGATTACAACATATAACTTTAAAAAATATTCATCAACAATTCACGAAAGTCTATCTTCATGGAATCGTCGTTGAGTAAAATATTACAATTTTTTCGTTTATTGATCTCGTTGATTTCTATAATGGTTCCAAATGATTTAGTTTCATTCCCTTATTTTCTTCATGTGAAATTTTGAAATTGGTACGGTTTGCGAAGTTGAATTTGTTTTCTTTTTTAATATGATGTTCGTGAATGCGGTAGTTCAACGTTCTACCTGTCTGACCAATGTTTACCTTGGGACAAGATCCCCAGTTCAGTTTCAACTAGATATTTTGAAAGCCATCACATTTCAGATTAAGAATATCGTTTTACATAAGACAATTTGCGTCACAGAAATTCCGACAGACATTCAGAAACCAGCAGTTATATATTATTGTAACCATAATTATAAGTGTAGCCAATGGGGATGTACTCTAGAACACACATGTGCAACAAGTAATTAAATGTATGACTCATGGCGTCCATCGATAATAATACGGAGGCAAATACAAAATTGATACTTGGAAATTATGTTGTGGCAAAAAATATACATATATATACGACAAGGAACAATGCAAATTTCTTCGTCAGTTCGAATAGCATGAAATTTCCATAACTTGTTTTTATAGCGATGTGTACAGTAAAATCAATATTTATGAAGAAGATAAACATATAGATATGCGTGGGGTGAAAATGGTGAGTTGATCATATCGAACACTTATACCTAGTGTCCCAGAACATGTAGGCAGTCTTCCGGATGTGGATTAATGAACGAGTCTTCATATTCTTGTAAATTGGGTGAATTGAATACTATACGAGAATATATATTATTCTACGAGATATTCTACAAGTATTGGAAGAATCCATTCCAAATGTATACCGATACCTTCTATACTTTCTTTAACGAGATTTCAGAGATACAAAAAAGAAGTTAGTTAAATTCAAAAAATTAGAAGTTTGTTCGAATTTTGAAATATCATGAAGTGAAACTCGACTGATACCCGAGCTGATACCTGGATAAGAAGTTGGGCGTATAACCTCGGGTGTAAAACTATAGCAAGAGCGGCAAGTAAACGGACAAGTATACTCGAGTACCCAACAGAACCAACAATAACTGATATGGTTACCTCGATAGTTACTGAACGAGGAAAGAGCCACACACTAATATCAATTATTATGAGACCCCATATACCGAATTGATTTCGTCTCATTTCAAGTTAATTCAATATCACGTGCCCAAATTAGACTTACATTATGTAATAAGTCTCAAATTGATATTCTGTGTAGATAGCTCGAGATAGCTTTGACTTCTTTGGTACCAAAGTATGATGAGTTTCAGATATGGCGTCGAACGCAAAAATTATAAATAGTTTCGATTGTTTCGAAAGAATGTTGGACTTCACCTGTGTTATCTGGTTCACCGTTCTGAAGCGAAATGATAACTAGTATATGTTTACTTTTCTCTGAATGTTTGAAGAAACACTTCCTGTTCCAAATACATATAGCTTAAGGGTCTATACTGTGTACATATACCTATTTACCTGAATACAGCTAGAATTTGTCGAAAAAACTCCCGAAAATCCCACCATCTCTGAAAATTTTGATTTGAAATTTCAGCTACTTAGGTATATATTTCTCAGTAAGGAGTGTCAAAATTCAACTGATGGAAATTATAAAATTTCATACAAGTGAAGTTTTCAACTGCTCATTACTAAAACAATTGCTGTTAATATTACTGCAATGGAAAACAATGTTCCTGGTTAAAAATACGATACTTCACATTCATCAAAATTTAATTTTTTTCGGACAACTGAAGAGATTAGAAATAAAATCTTATTCAAACTTATTTCGTGGTATATACTCAAGCCGAGACTCAAGCGTTATGACTGAGAAAAAAATCAAACATATTTGTGGCGTCGGAAATTCTTCGTTATTTTCAGCCTGTACAACCAGGTGCCATCATGTTTATTCATCAGCGATAGTTTATTCTTCGAAATAACCTCGAAAAATAACCAAAACCGCATCCGAATATATGGAATAATCATGCTCGTTGCGACCTATAATTTAAGACTAAATTAAGGCTAATTTATTATTTGATTGGTGAATTTATTGCCCTTTGAGTTATGCAAAAACGATGTGGGCTCTGCTAGCATAACGTTGAGCTCCAGGTTGAGCTAGCAGATCATTTATATACTAAATATAAGGCTGATTTCAGTCTCCAACGAGGTCTCCAATCCTAGCCTATTGCAGAACATTTTGCACTTTACTAGCTTAACCGTAAAGAGCAGAAATCGAAGAGCAATAAATTCAGCATCAGCCTTAGATTAACATCAAATAATCGTCGAAGAAAAAAATTAAATCTCCAATTTGGTTCTGCTCTCGGTTCTGCCACCGAACATGTGGTTCTGCTAGCTAACTCCCTCGCTAACTACATTGGTTGTCCTCGTTGCGATTCATCTGATCAGCAGTTCAGTTATTCTGAGTTTGCTACAATCATAAGGTTCATTCGGGTTCCGATTCCAGAACTGTTCAAGAATCGATCTCGAACTGCGTAGAACTAGTGCGCAGTCGTTTCGAATCCTAGGACTGTTTCAGAACGGTTCACAAATTATGAAAACCCGAAAGCGGCAGAAGAGAACCTCTGAGAACATAACCTCTATCCACTCTATTCATAATTTGCGAAAAAAACAATAGATTGGAACCTGTATCTTCATTCGCAACCCTGAAGCGTGCACCTGTTGATCTACGCAACCCCCAACCTAACCCCATTTATTCTCTCTGTTCCAGGCATACCCAACCTCGAGTCCCTGAACCTGAGCGGCTGCTACAACGTCGCCGACATCGGCATCTCGCACGCCTTCGTCTCGGACTGCCCCTCCCTGACGCAGCTCAACCTCTCCCTGTGCAAGCAGGTCACCGACAACTCCCTGAGCCGCATCGCGCAGTACCTGAAGAACCTCGAGGTGCTCGAGCTGGGCGGCTGCTGCAACGTCACCAACACCGGCCTGGTGCTGATCGCCTGGGGGCTCAAGAAGCTCAAGCGGCTGAACTTGAGGTCGTGCTGGCACGTCAGCGACCAGGGCATCGGGCATTTGGCCCTGGGGAACCAGTCTTTGGAGTATCTAGGTGAGTGCTTTCTTTATACTCTTCAGCTGTGAATAACGTACCATCCGTCGTTTGCGTGATATGAGCTAGGAACCGGAAAAACTACGGACATTTGGAGATTTTTTGCGTTATTCGACATGAGCTGGTAGTGACTACACTACGAGCAACTTCAGATTCGCGGTCAGCATCTCAAAAAACATATTGTTGTTGAGCAAACTTCTGCCAGACTCAAGTTATGAGACAGGCACCTTTGAACACCATTTGATCAGGCTAATTGTATACATATCCGATCAGGTTGTTCTCCGTAGCTCTAGCAATTTCAGAATATGAGATGGTTCTTGGCTCGGTTCTAGGTAAGGTAGCTCCTCCTGCTTTATTATGAGTGTTCCGAGGAGTGTTCCTAGGTTTCTTGTCACTAGGTTCTTTAGGGGTTTCTCTCGGGTTTCTTCCTCCTCTCCACAAACATCCTGAGTTGTCCTTTCAGCCGGCAATGCCTTGTTAGGATTCCCGTTCAATAATGAGTTTAGTTAGGTTCCATGTGAGTGGGGCAAAGATTTACCCTCCACCGCGATCCAAGAGGGCTATGGTGGCTCACTCCTACAGGTTTCAGTACACTTCTTTTTCGGTAGGGTTTAAATTGGTGAAACGCCAAAGATGTTGAACCTTAGTCTCTCTAAGCTAGAGCATAATCTCCCTAAGCAAGTTCATAGTCTCTCTAAGCAAGAGCATGGATATTGCGCAGTACCTGAAGAACCATAGTCTCTCTAAGCAAGAGCATGGACATCGCGCAGTACCTGAAGAACCTGGAGGTGCTCGAGCTGGGCGGCTGCTGCAACGTCACCAACACTGTCCTGGTGCTTATCGCCTGACGGCTCAAGTAGCTCAAAAGGTTGAATTCGAGGTCGTGATGTCACGTTCAGGGGATCGTTCATTTGGCATTGGGGAACCAGTCTTTGAAGTATCTAGGTGAGCATTCCGACGCCCAACCACCCTGTATCTATTTCAAATAAATATCAATATCATCAATTGAGTACATGAAAAGTTGGGATAGGGACATAAAAACCGTTTTGACTAATTATGAATAGTTTCGACACGAGGAATTCTAAAGTTGAAAAATCTCGATTTTTCACACCCAATATCTTTGTTATCAATCCCGCTAGACCCCAAGTGTAATAGATCTATGAAATCAGCTCTTCAGGAAGAATCTGAAAATGGAATAATACATAGGGTGTCCCATTCAAAAAATCAAAGATGTTGCTACTTTTCAATATAAGCGGTAACGTCGCAGTGTTGAGAATATTCCAGGTCAATATAACACAATCAATTATCCAAGGAACCAAATTTTCAGTATAATCCTACGTTGCGTTTTCCAGAAACGTCTAATGTGCCATCCACCGTCTATCATGGGTATGGTTTTTATTTTTTCTGGCTTCATTTAAAGATATATAGGAAAACAAAAGACACTTCCTTATCGTAACTTTTTAAACTCTACAAAACGGCGTTGAGAGATTTTTCGTTTCGGAGAAACCATCACCAACTGTACATCCTTATCTTGGACACACTGTATATACCATCAGAGAATGTTCTCCTACATAGAGTTCTAATAAACTAGGTCCGTGAATATGAAAAACTGCTATTGATCAATTCCAGTATCTAAGCATGATTGCATAATGCAACAGCTACGAAAACCTAAGTCAAGGTTAGTGAATGTTCAAAATATCTATAGATTGTATCGCCCATGAATATTGTGTCATTTGGTGGTCTGATAAAAAATTTTCGCCGTAAAGCGGAACTGGATTCATATAATTAATTATTATTCTATCTCTAGCGGTTTTCAAGATAGCACTACTTTTTAATTTCAATTAAAAATGGGTTGATTGATGATCACTCGCACCTCGTTTGTCACCAAACATATCTCCTTACATTGATTAATGTTGTCCCATTTTATGGATTTCGGCCTCGTAACCCCGTGTAAAATACCTGAATTATTCGTTTAAATATCGGTATATCCGCCACTATTAACATAATCATTATTTGTTTCTCAATAATCTGATCTAGTCTATCATATAAGGTCATTGCGAATCTATTATAATATGCACGTGTTTGCTCGCATTTTTGTTGTAGATCCGAAGGATACCTAACAAATTTGCTCGCAGATATACTGCTTTTTTTCCCATATTTCAAAATTTCTTCAATTGCTCATAATAACTCACCTTATTTAACGTCGAGATCAAACGCTCACTTTCCCATAAAAACTCGTGAAAACCAATTCAATCTAACGGAATATTTCATATAGAATTGAATCTATACACATTTTGCTCGTATTTTTGTCGTAGATTCAAAGGATAACAAATTTACTGATAATGCTTGCGTTGTGAAACACTCAGTATATTGAACGACAATACTCTGTGTCTCATACTTGGGCAATGAATATTGGAAATCAGTTGATAAGAAACATCGATATCAGAAAACAAGTTTGAATTGAAAATTCTCATTCTGTATTTCAATTAAAGGCGAATTTTCGAAAACGTCTCGAGTTAATAGTCTAATATAAATAATGGATATCGAGAAGGCCGTCTCTGATTATAATCACAATTTTTTATTTTTTTTACTGAAATGAGATTTTGTCCTATTTTCTTATCATTCTGTATATTCCACAATAGTGCTTTTTTCGTCTTTCCACAAAACATGAGACCAGTTCTTCCCAATAGTCAGCTCAAGTGGAGTTCAAGAGAAAAAATTCAAGAAATGCAAGTTCTAGTGTATTATATAATATGACTGAGTTTTTGATCAAAAAAAAATTTTTGAGTTCTGGCAGCATTGGAATTGTAGACCATAGTGTAATGGTTCCACTTCACACCCTGTGTAAGTTTTGTTCTGCGGACTTTTTCAGAGTGTTCTAGCTCTCTTTGAAGGCGATGAAACATCACATCTGATATCGAAAACTTCATGAAGATCGGTCATTTTTTTTCAAAAATTACAGTTCTTCGAAATAGAGTCAAATTATGAGTGGTCCATTTAGTGTGTTGAGAACTGTAGTTCAAATTGAAGGTTATAATGCAATTTGTTTCAAGAATTTAATCACTGATTCAATCCATATGAATTAATTCGTACCAACCCATACCCTAACCCACTCGAATTTTCTTTTGCAGGCCTCCAAGACTGCCAGCGCTTGTCCGACGAGGCCCTCAAGCACGCTACCGGCCTCACCTCCCTCAAGTCCATCAACCTCAGCTTCTGCATCAGCATCACCGACTCCGGCCTCAAGCACCTCGCCAAGATGGCCAACCTGCGCGAGCTCAACCTGCGCAGCTGCGACAACATCAGCGACCTCGGCATGGCCTACTTGGCCGAAGGCGGCAGCCGCATCAGCTGCCTCGACGTCAGCTTCTGCGACAAGATCGGGGATCAGGCGCTGACGCACATCAGCCAGGGGCTGTTTAACTTGCGAAGCTTGTCGCTGAGCGCCTGCCAAATATCTGACGACGGTCTGGCCAAGGTAAGGTCAATCATATAGATCGCGGGCACGATGACCGACCATTGAAACACAACCTCACTTTCCTTATCTGTTTACAATGGAATTGAAAGGAGGATTGAAATAGTTTTTCACAATGTATGTATGTATGTGTGTGGGCGGTCCGAGACTTTACGCACTTAGGCCTCCCTTTTCGGGCCCATTGTGCACCCACATTCCTGGGATCGCAAGTCAGCCATGGAGAAGGCCGATCTCGCGAGCAAAGGAGACCAACTTTGTAGGCCAAATTTTTTTAACATCCTCTGGGTCCAGGATACTGCCCCCAAAATATAGTACATCACAATGTACACTGAGAAAAACTGGTTAATTAAAACGTCTAGTTGGTATTTTTTTAGTACCGATAATTAAAAATATTTAGAATTTTATTAACAATGACAACGTATCCTTATTTCCTACAAATGACTTTTCTATTTTTCGCCAATTATTTGTCATCAATAAAAATACTATTTGTGACAGAATTATCACAGTGTTGTCTATTCAGTCAATTAAAATTTCATTTTGGGGTTAAAAAACCTCATTCTGGGGTTACTATAACTACAGCTGACTATTTGCCACAACTGATGACACATTTATCGTAAAAGGTTTATTATCATTCATAGCAGAAATTGTTTAGCCATAACTAATAATTTTAGTTGTACTGCGTCGTTCGGGACCGCCTCGCGTCTCTTCGGGACCCACCGGCAAGAATTGCATCTTGCATCTGTTTGTCTTTCTGTTCCATCATTTGAACTTGTATCTTGATAGTGAGTAGATCGCACGGTCGTCGAGCTTAGACAAAATAAATAAAATAATTGTCTAGTGTAGCCGGGAGCGTCGTGTTCTTGCTGGTTCACTGCTCTGTGTGTTTTCAAATCACTGTTTTGTGTTTTTTTGCACTTCGCGCTGAGCCATTTGGCATTTGGTTGGCAAAATAATAATTCGCAGTTTACCATCGTTATCTGTGCGTCACTAGTTATCAGGTTTAGGTACCTATTCACAATTCAGTTCAGTCTACGACGGGCGACGGTGAGATACGTCCAACCGACGTCACGTGTACACGGTGTATATTTATAATTCCCTCTCTTTTTGCTGAGCTGTGGCCTGTGGCACTTACGGTGTGTGGTGTATTCCTGTTCACGATTCCATTGGAATTTGGAAGGAAAATGGCATACAAACTGTTATTATTAGAATGGGGCCTTGATTTTAATTGATATAAAACTATCAAGTTGCCAGAATAACTAAATTATATTTCAAACGTTACTAAATCACTTTTGATAGTAACTAGATTCCATTTCAGTCACAATTGGATATTTAATTTGCAACAACACACTCACTATTAACGTCAGAAGAATGAGTAATTGCCCCAACTGGGATAATTTGTTGTGTTAACAAACATATATTGAAACAGTACTAACAATCTAATTGTCATAACTATGTATCTTGATTGTGGCAAATAAAACTTGTTATTATTCCTTAAAAAGGCTTATTAGTTACCACAACAACGTCGTAGATGACTCAACTAAACTTTTCATTTGAGGCAAATAGGCGTTTCCAGAAAAATAGAATCAGTTATGGCAACAACTAATGCTTGCTGTCCCCTATCGTCCTAAAAAAAAATTCTGTAGTTACTAATTTTTTAGTAACGGCTACAATTTTTTTCCCTCAGTGTACCTACCTGAAAAGTCGGATTTCTCCGTCTTGCTGTATTTTTTGTGCATTGTACAACAGCACGACTAATGGCGTGCTTGAATTAATGAATAGCCCAAAAACATGATTCATATGCCAAAATATTGTGAAACATTATTTCAATCCTTTGATTCATCTGTAAACAAATAAGAAAAGTGAGGTTATGTTTCAATGTTTTACCTCCAGGGTAGGTCATCGTGCACGAGAAGAATCTGTAACATTCATTTTACTCGATTATTTGGGATTTTCTCTTCGTTTCTACAAAATAAAAATATGAGAATATGTTATTTCAATAGATCTGCCCCAGAATGTCATTGCGTTTAACAAATTTTTCTATCAGGAAGCCTAAAAGAAAAATCCAATAGCTTGTCTGTCACACTATGTTTGGAAAAAAGTTTGAAGAGAAGAAATATAGATATATTGAAGAAATATCGAATTTTCACTTATCTTTGTAAGTTTCGGGAACGAATTCGCTCCCGTTCTCATAATAAAAATGCAAAATATTTTTCTTCGGAAATAATGTTCTATTTTTGACACTGATTATTTTATTTTTTCTTTTCTAGGTGGCCGAAACGCTGCACGACCTCGAGACCCTCAACATAGGACAGTGCAGCAGGGTGACCGACAAAGGATTAACGACCGTGGCCGAGTCGCTGACGAGGCTCAAGTGCATAGACTTGTACGGGTGCACGAAGATCACCACGGTGGGTCTGGAGAAGATCATGAAGCTGCCGCAGCTGAGCGTGCTGAACTTGGGACTGTGGCACGTGAGGTGAAACGAGTGATGTTTAGATAGGGCGGTTGTTTTTGAAATTGGTGGTTGCGGGCCCGAAAGCGGAAGGGTCGCCTGTAGGAAGGTTCGTTGGTTCGTATGGAATTTAGGCGTACAGGTGTCTGTTTTTCCTCATCCGATCTTCTGCGCTGAAGGGTAGAGAAGTTGCCAGTAGGACTAAGGATAATCAAAACCATCAAATTTTTCCTACCTGAAAAAATTGCGGAATCTTAACTGCCCAACCAATCAACCAAAGGTAAAGATCCCACAGCAGCTACTTACTATGACATAGTCCGGGCTTGTGTTGATATAATTCAAACTAACTAAAGTATTATCACGACTTATTCTCATTCATTGATATGATTGATTCTCACAAGATTATTTTTCCTCAATTCATTACACCTGGCGCTTCTTCACGCTTTAGATCTTCAGATCGGTATTGCATTGAAATGGAACACAATTAGACAAATATATGGGTGACGTCAAATTTCAGCGGATTTCATACTACCCAAATGATTGTAATCAAAACTGTTACACAACAGAAAAAGTAGTACCACTGAAATGATAGTCATATTGAATTGAGACTCATTCTGGGTGTCTAGGTTTTTTTATGATTGCACTCTAACAACGAACAAACCTCGCAAAAACACCTCAAAAAAGTTTAATGGGGCAGTATGGGACTAAAAGAATTTCTTCCTCAGATTCTTTACTTAATTTTGAAGTAAAAAGTTCCTATCAACTTATCTCCTAAAATACATTTTGTCTCGACATAGACAGTGTCGAAATCTACGGAAAGAATCAGAATTTTATTTTTCTCTTATTCTGTAGGAAACTTGGTGTATTATGGTAGGTAAATCAAACTTTCATTATCAATCTTCTTCGACCAGTGTGGTATGAATATTTCTCAACTACCTGATGTCAATCTGACTCAACCTTTGTATGCATATGCATCTATTTTAATCTTCAAATGCAAATAAATTTTGATAATAGGTTTGGTTCGGAGTTTAGATCGGAATTAGGCAATCATTTTTACTAAAAGTTAACGTTTCCTCCTTTGATTTTTCACAAGTTGCTACCTTCCACACTGAAAAAAAAGTAAAAATTGAGAATTGCCCGTCAAAAAGGGGATCAGTGTAATAAAGAAGAATGACTCCTTGTGATTAGATAGGTAGCTTTACCAAAAGAAAGAATAATTACTCTGTATGATGTTCCATACATTGTATGACGTTCAAAGAATTTTTTTAAATTCATCAAATCCGAAACATGATATTTATTCATTTCCATATTTTATTGCATACTATTGCATAATCGGAAATAACAGGTGCTCATTTGATTGTTTTCATTTTAATTTTTGTACTTCTGGGTGAATGTGGCATGTACAGGGTGATACGAACTCCAAAAGACTTCCTATAGGTAGACCCGGATCTCGGGAAAACGCGCAAGATGAGCTGTGATAGATATAGAAGAAAAAAAACGAATGACGTAATTAAACATTTTAGGTTAAGCTGGCCGTTTTGCTTCCTACGTGTCGCAGAACCCCTCTCATTTTCTCATGTGAAAAAATAACCTAAGATAACCTGAAATGAGAATCTCCCCCATGAAAAAGACTATTTCGATCACGTGACACATATTATGATTGATGTAAGATTTTGATTTTGACAGATTCTTGGTGAACTCGCTGAATATTTTTGGAAACATTAAGCCTAGTGATATATTTTAATTCCTTATTGGAGTTTAACTGCTCTCAATTTCCGTTTCAGTTGAATATACAGAACACTTAACACTGAAATTGCATGCAACAGGTGTTGAAAGAGAATTTCGACAGGATCAAATTTTCTACACTATTTCAAAATTAGGTGAATCGAATCTAGATATAAATTTTGACGCTCTGATGAATGTTGAGTAAGTTTTTGTATGTATAAAGAACGAAATCTCATTACACGCTATAAAACTAATAGCAAAGTTCTATTGCAAAGTGTTGAAGAACCTTTGCCGTGGAATTACTCCAATTTTGCGTCTATTCTTAGTTTTGTAGTTTTGTAACGAGATCTCAATGAAAGACGACTTTCTCTTGTCGTCGGCAAATTGAATTTTCAACTGCCCAATCGATTTCGTCGATACTCGATTCGTGACGCAAAAAAGCGGCTGATCTGCACGAAAATTCGTCAAGCTTTCGTCCCGTTCCACCCATTTCGTTTGTGTAGAACTGTAGAATGTGCCAATCCCTATATCCGAACGTACAGTTTTTGCGGAAAATCACAAAAATTCGATCCAGATCGATGGTCACGGCATGACGGTCGAACATGGTGGTTTTTCCTCAGTTAGAAATCGATGAAAACAAATGGTGCAATTCGTTCAATATCCATACTGTATGTCCACATTTTTCGTGAATCATTATTTCATCACCACTTCCAAGTATACTTATGTCCTGTGCTTTCATAAATACAAAGTGACCTTTTCACAAATCAATATTCAGAACTTATGATATATTATAGTATATGCATGCTATAATTTTTTTACATGTTAAAAACAGCTACGTGATATTAACGCTTGGGAAGGCTTATCTGGAATCATAGAGCCAGAACTTTTAAATGACGTACAGTTTTTGCGGAAAAGCACAAAAATTCGATCCAGATCGATGGTCACGGCATGACGGTCCAACATAGTGGTTTTTCCTCGTTAAGAAATCGATGAAAACAAAATGGTGCAATTCGTTCGATATCCATACTGTATGTCCACATTTTACGTGAATCATTTTTCATATCCACTTCCAAGTACACTTATGTCCTGTGCTTTCATAAATACAAAGTGACCTTTTCACAAATCAATATTCAGGACTTATGATATATTATAGTATATGCATGCTATAATTTTTTTACATGTTAAAAACAGCTACGTGATATCAACGCTTGGGAAGGCTTATCTGGAATCATAGAGCCAGAACTTTTAAATTAAAAAAAAAGCTGATGATCTTGTACTAAGGTATACATACGTTGGTCAGACAGGTGTTCGCGAACATCATATTTTCATAACATTTTTTATTTTTTTGAATTATCTATCCTGAATGAAAGTTTCTGGATCAAATAATTGATAGTGGAGTCAAAATTCCACAAAATGTGAATGTGTACTAGCATAATAATATATACTTTTTGGTGCTCTTTCTGATGGAAGGCAAGGGGTGCTCCAGTTTTATCAAGTTTTAAGTCACGCTGTATACAAAATGAAGTGAAAAAAATTTGAAAACTTGAAATACAGAATTCCCTAAAGTCATCGTTGTACTTTGATGAAAGACGAAAAGAAATAATTCTGAATTCAGGGTGGATACAGAAAATTTTGTACAATCCTTACATCAAAATATGACGATTTTCTATGAGGAGGAGATATGGCGATGCGATAGATTCGTGGTGTGTTTCAATTTTATAAATTCAATCAATTTCGAGAATTCAATTGAACATTTGAGTGCACATTGTAATCATTCATCATTACGATTATATAAACTCTAATTCAATTCAATGCCCAATCTCAACTCTGTTGTCTATTCTTCGTTTTCGGGAAACCCCGGAAATTCCATGACCTTGAAAAAAAGTCTCGATTCTCGAAGCATATAAGCATGTTCATTCCCCAAGTTTTTCTCTTTATGCAAGTCATGCACTGTTTAAGTTCGAAAAATTTACCAAAAAGAGGCTTTTTTTCAAATTCAATGTGGAGCATATTATAAATATGGACCAGAGTAGTCTTTTTTCCATTTCGGCACCCTTTTATTAAGAAAACAAAGATGTGGGAGAATTTTTGAAATGAAATTGGAATTTCTTGACCTTTGCTATCGAATTTCTATCAAAATCGGTTGGCAACACTGAATGTCCTACAAGTCCTACAAGGTGCCCAGAATGTAACTCGCTTCACGATCGCAGAGAAAAATATGGAATATTAAATAGACGAATATAAAAACGTTTTAATGGCCTCCAAGGACATTCTCTTCTAATAAAGGAGCGCTGCCATTCAAGTCGACGTACATTACGAGCTTTTTTAATTTCTATAATAAAACAAATGACATAACATTGGGTCGACGAATAATGGCTTCATTTTTTGTTTTATTTTCTCGCGAGATAGCACACATGACGATCCGAGATGGCCGTGGAATTTCGCGTATCCGCAAATTATCTGTTTCGAGAAATCGTGACGTCATCTTGAATTGAATCCTGCCTATGATGCACTCGATAACAGAGAACATCCTAGTCATCCTACTATTCCTACTCTACAGCTTTCATTTCATAACAGTGAATAAGAAATCGGCTAATCAATCTAAATTTTCATTTTATTTACTTGTGTATGTCATGCCACATTATGCAAAAATTAACAACCTACTCTTATCGGAAAAAAAGGGAGGGGGGGACGTTACTCAGCCAGTCTACTACAATAATACATCTTATCATTGTGATTATTTTCTCTACTAATAGACTCAACTGGTACTAGGAACTATTCAAAATAACAGTCACTTCTTAATATGAAAATAGTATAGAATTTGAAGCAAGAGATTGAATATGGAAAGTCGTCCAATATACCAGGCTGATTCACGATGGATGGCACATTAGATGTTTCTGGAGAACGCAACTCAGGATCATTCTGAAAAGTTGGTGCCTCAAATAATTAGTTGGGTTCTATCGACCTAAAATATTCTCAGCATTGCGACGTTGCCGCTTATATTGAAAAGTAGCAACAACTTTGATTTTTTAAATGGGACACCCTGTATATGATTCCATCTTCAGATTCTTCCTGGAAAGCTAATTTCGTTGACCTATAACACTTGGGGTCTAACAGTAATAATTACAGTGTTATAGGATGTGAAAAACTCGGTGAAAAATCGAGATTTTTCAACTTTAGGAATCACGATTTTTCACACCCTATATCTTTGTTATCATTCCCGCTAGACCCCAAGTGTGATAGATCGATGAAATCAGCTCTTCAGGGAGAATCTGAAAACGGAATGATATACAGGGTGTCCCATAGAAAAAATCAAAGATGTT